GGCCGGCCTTCCTTGGGATTGCCAGCGGGGAGGTGGGTTCCTTGGTTGGCACCAGCCCCTCCTGATGCTGCACTGGGTCTGCCCTACGCCTGATGCCTTGGGGCCGTGGCTCTCTTTCTGTGCAGGGACAGGCTGGACTCTGGGCCCATTCTGCCTGGGTCCCCAGGTCACCTGGGCTGGTCTGGGCATGGAGCTGGGCACTGGCATACCAGGCCTGCAGTGTGTGTGTCCCTGCCCACTGGTTGGGCTGGTTCCGTGCCTTGCCCTAGACTCTGGGACAGAATTTGGGTGAGTGAACTGAGGTGCTGGGGCTCACAGTGGCCATCCTGAGCTGTGCGGGTGTGGGCCAGGCCCCCAGGTGGGTTGCAGTGAGGCCAGCGCTATCCAATGGGCAGTCTTTCTGGGTTTGCTCCTCTATGTGAGTGGTGTGTAGAGGCCGGGCCCCAAGCTGCAGGAGGTGGTCCACCCAGACCTGAAGGTGCTGTGGCAGAACGCGGTGTGTCTGGAGGGGCCGTCGGACCTGGGGGTTAGGGCAGTGCCAGGCCGGTTCCCAGGGTGGTCCTGCTCCGGGCTGCATGCTGCCGCCCCCGCCCCCTCCTTCAGGCCACCCATTTCTGATGCCTGCCTGATTTGGGGTCCCTACCCTCTCTGCACACACCTTCCTGGCCTGTGTCACTGTCTGAAGACCACTGCCATTGAGTTGATTCCGAACCACAGCGCCCTAGAGGACAGAGTGGGACTGCCCTAGAGGGGCATGGAGGTGGGCACTGGCTGTCAGTCTTCACAGAAGCAAAGCCCGAACCACACCCACTGCACTGGGGTCCATTCTGACCCACAGCGCCCCTAGAGGACAGAGTGGAACTGCCCACAGGGTCTCCAGGACTGTTGATCATTATGAAAACAGACTGCCTCACCTTTCTCCCACAGAGTGGCTGGTGGTTCCAACTGCCAACCTTTTTGGTCAGCAGCTGAGTGCTTACCTCTGTGCACCTGGGCTCCTTGTGGCCCCAGCATCCCGGGATAATGGTTTCTGGTTGTGGTTCCCCTCTCATCAGCCAGCAGGGCCCCATGGGTGTAGTAGTCACAGATTGCAGTGCACAGCGAGGCAGGGAGGCCTTGGGTCTTTTCTCACATCTGCTGTCCACAGAGGAGACAGCTGCCCTCCCAGGCACTGGCACGAGCCTCTGCCCCTCAGGAGCTGCTTGCTGTGAGGGCCCTGGAGGTCGGGAATCTTGGAAGCACCGAGGGTCTGCTCCACCTTTGGGGTGGGGTGTCATCGTTGACTTCCAGGAAGCCCCACAGGAACCTCCAGCTCCCCGGCCTGTGCTTGAGGAGGGTCCTAGCTGACCCCGTCCGCTTCCCTGGAGAGCCCTCAGCCACCCAGGCTAAGCCCCATGGCTGCAGGGACCCCGTGGCCTTGGCACGTCCTTCTCAGAGGACAGACGGAGGAGGGTTTTGGGGTCCCTGGGGAAGGAGAGAGGCCAGCTGCTGGTCCCAGGGCTAGCTGGATGTGCATGCGGTGAACTGGCTGGTGTGGGAGGGAGGGGCAGGGCACTGCCCCATCAGGGTCCTCTGGCCTGAGGTGGTGGTGGTGTCCTCGCCCTCCACAGGTGTGAATGAGTCCCCTCTGATGACCTGGGGTGAGGTAGAGAACACGCCCCTGAGAGTAGAAGGAGCAGAGACGCCCTACGTGGACAGGACTCCGGGACCAGCTTTCAAGGTAGGTTATGGGGAGATGGGGGCAGTGGTGGCTGCGGGCGGGAGCCTCAGGAGTCGGCCCCCAGCCCTGCGGTTGGGTTATGGTGAGATGTGGTAGCTCCGGGTGGGACCCCTGGAGTCGGCCCCCAGCCCTGCAGTTGGGTTGTGGTGAGATGGGAGCAGCGGTGGTTCTGGGTGGGACCCCTGGAGTCGGCCCCCAGCCCTGCAGTCAGGGCAGAGGCCCCAACCTCAGCGTGGCTGAAGCTGCAGTGGTGGGCACAGTGTCAGGGAACGGGAGCAGGGCACTGCAGTCAGTGGCGGCAGTGGTGGGCGGGTCAGTTGGGGGACTCGGGGTTGAGGCACTGAGACGGGATGGGAGCCATTCAGGGGTGAGGCAGGTGGGCTCTGCGGGCCTGGGTGCTGGGAGGCGGTCTGGAGGCCATCAGGCTCTGGGGTGTAGTTTCTGCTCTCAGAAAAGCTGGCCGTTTGCATCCCAGGCTCTGCCTGCGTGGAACCCGGCTCACGGACTCATCAGATCATGAGAGAGATGCAGGGTCGGAGCTGGGCCGCAGGAAGGTTCTGCAAGGCAGGCTCTCGGTGGGCCCGATGGGGCACAGCGCAGGGGGCGTGGCTCACAGTGAGGAATGGGGAGCAC